TTGTTTGCTTGGGAGCGATCAGTAAAATAAAATTGGACCCAGAGTGTGATATATTAGCAGCTGTCATTGTTTTATGTCTTTTAAGTCCTTAGATTAAGAGTAATGTCAGTGGAGCCAAGAGTGGTTTTAGGCAGCCTGGCATGGGAACTTGGTTTCTAGCAGAGGAATTTTCCATTTCAGAAAAAAATAAGTTTCAGACTAATGGTATTCTGAGCTGGTGTACAGGGCTAGTGGAAAATAATTCTGCTTTTCTTTTCAAGTGTTGAAAATTAAATACATCACCATATTTCCAACATTGTTACGTTAAGAAGTTCCGGATTGTTGAGAAGAATGAGAAAAAGAGGGCTAGATTTCTAGAAGTTAGGATTCTAGCATCAGTCTTAGAATAGCTGTAGTAAATTGGTCTGGTTTGTTTGACCAGTTTAGGTGTTTGATGACACCAAAACTAGGTGATTATTGTATTGTAAGTTTAAGCATAATTGTACATTCCAGACATTTACTACTTAGCCAAAGTAATCTTAAGTTTGAAAGTGTATGAAAATTATACAAAATGTGGCAACCGTTTCCTTTATTTTCTCTGATGACAGAAGAAGAAATGAATTTAAACTGCTACATGATTTAATGCCTTTCTGACCAAAAACTTTAAAACACTGGAATGGCTATGGATTCTTTCCTGAAAAAACTCTTCCATGAATGGAAAAGATAGTATAGATATGAACTTCCTTAAATGAAGCAATGATTTAGGTGACTCCTAAACTTATTTAGCATATGCTGAAATTATTTAGCAGACAAGGGATAAACCAGCAAGTTCTGGAAGCTAGCACTTTTAGAGTTTGCCACTTGTAGAATGTAAGTTATAAGTGAATCCTGGTTTTGGGGTCATAGAAGACATAAACACATGAAAATAACATTCTCTATTGTGGCAGTGGAGGTGCTATTGGAAGTGCTGATTTCCGAACGAGTGGTTCAAGGAGGATGACTGAGGGCTATAACAGTACAGGAGGATTCGTGAAGAAGGTAGTCCTTGGGCCAAATCCTGAGGGGTCCAGCAGGTCAGACTGAAGAGAGTTGGAAAGACAGCCTGGCAGGAAACAAAGGAAAGGGCAAAGTTGTCTTGAACCTTATAGGCAGTTTTCAAAAATTTTGTTATGCTTTGTGAAAATTTATTTTACTTACATGTTTTTTCTCAGACTTGTTCTAATACCCTTTATTTTCTTATTTATTAACGTCTGTTGTCCCCACATCAGGAGGGTCAGTCTTTCTTAATCAGCATTGCCTGACTGTGAGAAACATAAGAAGGCTAGAGCACTGGTTATGGGGGCAGCTCATGGAGTAGTGACTTTGACTCTGCAATAAACTGACCTTTTCCAATGAGTCATTTAATTCCCTTCTTCTTTATTTTTAATGTTTTTTTGAAATATTTATTTGGTTGCGCCAGATCTAAGTTGCGGCAGGGGGGCTCCTTAGTTGTGGCCTGTGAACTCTTAGTTGTGGCATGCATGTGGGATCTACTTCCCTGACCAGGGATAGAACCCGGGCCCCCTGCATTGGGAGCGCAGAGTCTTATCCACTGTGCCACCAGGAAAGTCGCTTAAATTCCCTTCTGCTCCTTAAACTGTCTGAGAGGCCGTAGAGTTCTAATCAGTAAACTGCTTTTTTCTTATTTTTCGAGGTTTGAAATATTATAGTTGGTCATTAGATTAAGACAGTATTTTATGAATCATAGTGTATGAAAATATAAGCATCTTTATAAAAAATGTCTGAAGTACCTTCTCATATTAACTCTGCTGAATGTTAATCAGCTCTTCTTTTACCTTCCGTTATGGTGGTCTGTGGTACTGTTATTTCACAGTATTGTCATTAGTGTCAATTTTATCTTGGTAGTCATCTTGAGGGAAGTATATTTATTATTCTCATTTTACTGATACAGAAACTGGATCTTGGGAAGTGTCAGTGTAGCCAACCAGTAGCTCAGCGGTGACTCAGGCCAGGTCAGTCTGACAGCACAGCTTGAAGATGGGAGCTGAAAGGATTTGTGTGCTGCTTCTAGAATTTCCTGGATGTTTCTAAGCTTGAGGAGGATAATAACTCAGGACATTTGGAATTAGGACTAGCCTGGGAGATCTAGGATCTATGGGTAGCCATCACCAAAGTACATTTCTTCCTTTGTTCAAGTCCAAGACAGCTTTCTCCAGGAAACATTCTCTCAATCTGTTTTTGAGCTCATTAGCCCAATTTTGGTCTGTTTCTTCCTCCACTCTAATTATATCCTTAGAAGCCACGGTCTTTGAAGATGGAAACTGTCTTTAGCTGTATACCTTCAGAGGGCTCAGTGAATCATTTCAGCTCAGTACGAATATTTACTGAGTATTGTGGTCCAGCTCTTTCAGTAGCTGGTGATTGAAGGCCAACTTCAGCTGGACAGAGGCACAGAAGATTGATGGGTTGGCTTGCAGTTGACAGCGTCTGGGCACCTGGGCAGCTCAGGGACCTGACTTACAGCCTGGAGCATGATTTGTGCCTCTTCTTTCTTTCTCAGGTTTCTTCATATTATATGGGACAAGGTGGCTCACTGCTTTGGGGTCACACCCTTGGCCAAGTTGGGAAGAGGAGAATCTTCTCCAGTAGCCCCAGTTAGAAAAGTCCTGGAGAGGGCCTCTGACTGCCTCAACTTGGGTCCCATGGCATCCCTGGACCAGTTACTATGGCCAGGCTGATGTCCTATGATTATCCTTGGCCAGGTTGGGCGCCCAAAACTGTGGTGGTGGGAGTGTGTTTTGTCACTAGAAATGTGGATGGATGAGAAGGCTGAGTAGTGAAGTCGCCCTGTAAGCACCTGCTCTGTGGCTGAGTAAACACTGTGGAGAGAGAAATACACATGTTCTAGAGAGCTGTGGCGGAGGTATTGTTTATGAGGATAAGTAGATGAAATGGAAATGAGTTTAACACAACTTAAGGGCTGTGTTTACCCTTAGGTTTATACTTACTGACTTATTTACTTTAGGTATTTTAGATTTTGTGACAGGTGTGGTAATAGTCAAGAAGTTTGCATATTCATTCAAGAGTCATTTAGTGAGTACCTCAGTGGGGAGTGCTGTGCACTGGGGATAAGATGAAGAGGCATGAGACTCCTGCCCTCAGGAGCTCTTATTCTAGGGAAAGGAGTAGATGGGGCAGGAAACAGGCTGTTGTCCCAGAGGGAGGGATTAAGTGGAGGCATTGAGGGATATGTCATGCAAAAGATGAGCCGGGATCCGTGGCAGAGTTGGAGAGGCTAAAGGAAGAGGAGAGGTGATTTCTGGCAGAGAGTTCCATGGATGCAGGTGTGGTGTTGGAAATGCTCCACTTGGCAGCAGCAAGGGGAGTAGAACAGATTGGCTGGGGAAGCAGAAGGGGAGGCTGAAGAGTGCTGTTGAACGCCAGGATAGTAGGTATCAGAACTTGGGCTCAGGCCCTCACGTCAGTGAATTTGTGGGAGGGCCTCTGTTGCCACTGCCTGAGCTGCTGGAGGGCAGAGTCTTTCTTGCTCGTCTTGTATCCCAGGGGCCTGGCAGAGTGTGTGCCTGCAGTGGGCACTCAGTACATGTTTACTGACAGACTGAAGATGAGGACATTAGAATTCTGTCTTTTATGTTAAGTTAGAGGGTTCTAGTCCCTAAAGAATCTGAGTATGGATGAAATCCAGAGAAGCAAAGGATAAGTCAGATGCAACCAAAGCAGTGAGTGACAGGCCTGAGAAACGTTCCTGTTGCCAGAGAGAAGGAAAAAACAAATGCGCAATAAACTTGATAGGACAGGCTCTGAGCATCACAGCGCCTGCCGACTAGCTGATGTGGTTAAAACTTTACATCTGTTCCTCACATTTGACAGGAACAGATTTGAGAGCCACTGAATCATTGTCTCTGCTTAATGTAGATCAATTTCTGGGTGAAAAAGGGTTGACATCCTTCAAGTATGTGGCTAGAGCCATTGGGATACATTGGGATACATATATTATTCAGATACCCAAGGAAACTTCCTTTTTGGATTGTTAGATATCTGATTTGTTCCCCAAATTTATTACATGATATCCAAAACAATATTTAGAAATTTTCACTTCTTTCCAAGGGGAGTATCCCACAAATGTATAGTGGAATGCATTTAGTTTTATAGGGAGTAAAGTTTCAAAATGAGTAAATAAAATACATAAGCATGGTGTACTTGAGAAATGAAAATTTGAGCAGAGCACCAATAAGAAGGAAAAGTGGGCTCTGAGGGGCTGATGTGGATAGCAAAGCAGTGAAGCAGAGTTTAACTTTTTTGTGTTTTAATTGGTTGCTTTTTTCTGAAGTATGGTTTATTCAAAGTACAGTCAGTCCTCATTTTTCAAAGATTCTGTATTTATGAAATCGCCTACTTGCTCAAATTTATTTGTAATCCCCAAATCAGTGCTCTTGGTGCTTTAATAGTCATTTGCAGGCATATGTAGAGCAGGGAAAATTTTGAGTCACCTGACACCCGTGTTTCCATCCGAGGTCCAAGGCCCCACTCTGTCTACCTGTTCTAGCTCTCACACTCTAAACAAGGGCCCTTTTCCTGGTCTTTTTAGTGCCATGTTTTTCACATTTTTGTGCTTTGTGTTGGTGATGTCACTGTTTAAAATGGCCCCCAAACATAGTGCTGAAGTGCTGTCTAGTGTTCCTAAGTGCAGGACATCTGTGATGTGCATTATGGAGAAAGTATGTGTGTTAGATAAACTTTGTTCAGGCATGAGTTATAGTGCTGTTGGCCATGAGTTCAATGTTAATGAATAAGCTACATATATTAAATAAGGTGTCTTTAAACAAACACACAAAAAGTAAGGTTTCATATTGACAGGAACTACGCTGTATTCCCCGAGGAGCAATGGTTCAGTATCTGCCAATTCGTTGTTTTTGGCAACTTTATAGAACATTAACTACTTTGAATAATGAGAATTGACTGTATTTGTTTCCTATTCTTCTTCCTGGCATCAACCTGGGCTTATATAGTTATTTTGTGTGTGTTTGTGTGTGGGGAGGGTCGGGATAACTTTTTATTTTGACAGAATTTCAAACTTACAGGAAACTTGCAAGAATAACACAATGAGCTTCTTTCTAGTGGGACTATATGTGGGTTAATAGTGTCCCCTGCAAAATTCATGTCCAGCCGGGACTTCAGAATATGACCTTATTTGGAGATGGGTGTTGGAAGATGTAATTAGTTACTATGAAGTGATACTGCATTAGGGTGGGCCCTAAATCCAGTGACTGGTGTCCTTATAAGAAGAGGAGAGGACACACAGAGATACACACAGGAGAGAATACCATGTGATGATGGAGGTGGAGATTGGCGTGATGCAGCTACAAGCCAAGGAATGCCAAGGATTGCTTAGAGCCACCAGAAACTAGAAAGAGGCAAGGAAAGATTCTTCCCTAGAGCCCCCAGAGGGACTAACACGTTCATTTTTGGACTTGAAGCCTCTAGAATAAATTTGTTGTCTCAAGCCACTGAGTTTGTGGTAACTTGTTATGTCAGATCCTAGGAAACTAGTACAGTAACCCTTTATTCTGATTCACCAATTTGTTATTATTGGTCTCTCTGTTTCTCTTTCTCTACATGTGTATATCTTATTTTTTTCTGTACTATTTCAGAGTAATTGAGAGACATAGTGAACGTGTACCCCAAAATGTTTATTTCCTAGGTTATGGACAGCTCTTACATAAGCATAGTATAATTACAAAACTAGGAAATTAAAAATTGATGAAATACTGTTATCTAATCAGTCATATATGCTCAAATTTTATCAGTTGCCTAATAATGATCTGTTTTCCCTGGTCCAAGATTCAGTCCAGGATCATACGTTCATTTTCTTTTCATGCCTCTTTAGCCCTGCATTAATCTGGGATAGTTCCTCAGACTTTCTTTGTGTTTCTTGACCTTGCCATTGTTGAGGTGTATAGGCCAGTTATTGTGGGCTTGTCTGATATTTTCTCTGTTTAGATTTAGGGTATGCATTTTTGGTAGTAATACTGTGGAGGTTGTCCTGTATTCTGGTTGTTGCCTCATATTAAGAAGCATTTGATGCTGGTTTACATCAACATTCATGACTTGATTAAGATGGTGTCTGACAGGTTTCTCCACTGTAAAGTTACTGTTTTTCCCTTTGGAATTAATAAGTAATTTGGGGGGAGTCATTTTGTGGTCATGTATGTATCCTCTTCATCCTCAAACTTTTACCCACTAGTTTTAGCATTCATTGATAGTTTTGTAAATCCGTCATTTATTTATTTGTTTATATCAATGTAGACTTACAGTCTTGTTTTATTCAGTAGGTTATAATCCTTTCCTGTCATTATTTATTTGATGCTGGAATGTCCCACGTTTGGCCAGTGAGAGCCCCTTCGTTCAGGCTCATGTGTCCTTTTTACATGTTCTCATTATTCCTTGGGCACTTTCTCACTCTCTGGCTCAAGATATTTCAGGCTCATTTTGTCCTTCCCTGTCCCATCCCTGGTATCACCCACTTGGTTAAAGAGCTGACCTGGGCTGATTTAATATATTAAAGAGGTATTCTTGAGTTAAAAATGTGTGTGTGTGTGTGTGTGTGTGTGTGGACTCTGAGTAGGCCAAATGATATTTTCCAGTTTCTTTACTGTCCTAGATAACTAAGTGAGCTTTCTCAGAGCTGTCAGATAACTGAATCCTGACAGGTCTCTGTGGAGGGTAGCACCTTCTTGAGGATAGATGCCTCTTCCTCTTGCAGTCCTGCCCCACCATAGGAATTTCTGCATGAGAAGGAACATGCTTAGACCTGTTAAGTATTAAAATACCATCTGTGTTATGGCTGAATTTATTTTTATGAATTTGTTCCCTTCTTCCTAGTTAAGAAAGTTTTAATGGTATATTTTAATCTTAATTTTTTAAACTACAGTGGCGCACTGGATGAGGGATTTTATTTCTGATTAGGTGGTCAGCTCATAGCAGTTGACCTTAATTTGATTCCCAATGCAAATCTAAAATTTTCCTTAAAATGCAAATTAAAAAACTTACAAAGTGAGTATTTGTCTATTATAGACATTTAAAAAAACAAAACAGAATAGCTTGAGGAAAGAAGTCAGTGTTGTCACTGTTCCTGGATATAAACTCCTTGGCTTCTTTGGGTCTCCTAGGGTGGATCCCTTGCCCTTTCTGGTGCATTCTCAGGCTGCCTGCTCCCCTTCCTGGTGAACACCAGATGTCTGTACTCAGTCCTCCTTTGCTCCCTTGCTTCTCTCAGCTTCTTTCCTCTCAGATATGATACCATGCAGAACTTTGAAGTGTTCATTGTTTGTCCTCACACGCTTGTATTTTGGAGTTGGTTGTCTAGTTGTGTTGTCCACGTGCTTTTGGTTTTGCTATCTCGTGACTCTTTCTTTCTGTGGTGGTTCAGAGATGTTTAAAAACTCTGCCAGTCCTCTCTCGCCTTCTCACTTCCAGGATGACCAAGAAAAGAAGGAACAATGGTCATGCCTAAAAGGGCCGCAGACATGTGCAGCCTGTTCGCTGCACAACTGTTCGCGACGTGTGCCCAAGGACAAGGCTGTTAAGAAATTCGTCATTTGGAACATAGTAGAGGCCGAAGCTTTCAGGGACATTTCTGAAGCCAGTGTTTTCGATGCGTGTGTGCTTCCCAGACTGTAATGTGAAAATACATAAACTGCACGAGTTGTGCCATTTACTGCAAGGTAGTCAGGAATCATTCTCAGAAAGTCTGGAAGGACTAAACATCGTCACCTTGTTTTAGATCGGGGGGTGCTGCCCCACAGCCTCCACCAAAGCCCATGTAAGGAGCTAAGTCCTTAAAGACTGAAGAAATACTGTTCTTTGAAAAGACAATAAAATGGAAATTATACTTAAATAAAAACTATGCTCTCACTGATGCCATTTCTCACAGTTTTGTTACTGTATATTTAGTGAAGTTGATCTCACTGTTATTTTTTCTTTGAAAACCATTTCCACAGAGAAAAAGAAATTGGGATGTAGAATACCCATCCTTTCCAGGAGAGAGTCCACTGCAGTGCAGACGAGCAGGTCTCAGGACCGTGGGGGCAGAAGCGTCCCTCTCTGAAGCGTGGCTCAGGTGTGGAGAAGGATTTCAGGAGACTCCTGAGACTCTGGTAAAGTCATAATATTTGTTTCCCTGACGCTGAAGGACAAACCTTAGATTCCGGAGAGTTCAGGCCACTGTAATTATATTTCTTCGGAATTCCCTTCCTTATTTTCTTTGAGAACACTGTAATTGGTGTGTTGCTTTTTTCTCCTCATCCTTGAATTCCTTAAAAATTGTGGGATAGCAGTATTCACCTCTTTCTGTCACCCAGAACCTTTGTACTTCTTTGTAAGTGAAGGATACATACTGAAAATGTTCTCAGAAGATGAAACTGTTGAGCATCCTGCTCTTTAAAAGAAGTATTTATGAAATGCTTATATATTTAGAATCTAGTGGCAGTGAGATATTCTGGTTAATTTTGGTGTATGTGGTAACTTTGAAGTACTCAGCATGAGAAGGAGTACTCGCCACTAAAGGTTAGACAGCTCAAGGTTAGATAGCTCTCTATTTAGATTCTGGAAAAATACAAAAATGCGCTGCAAGTATTTGCTTTGGGACTACTTGTTGGTAAATAAAGGAAAACAGAGGAATATGTTAAAGGGGTGTAGTATAAGTTCTTGGATATTTTATGTAATATTGTTAGTTTTTAGCTCTTGTCACATAAACTGCTACATCATCACTAATTATCATTATTATCATTATCTGCCTGCAGTCATTAACAGCTGAAAAGAAGCCTACTGCAGAAAAACACCTTGAATTATCCTCTGGACCCAAGACAGGTAATATTTTGTTGATTTCTTGGCAGAAAAGATATAAGGCTAATATATCCTCCTTTGATTTATTTGCTTTCTTTTAAAAAGATGCTTACATAGTTTGGGTAGACTATATATTCATGGTTAAGAAAACACCCAAACAATGTAAAAAGGTGTTGTTTTGAAAAAATCTCTCATCTTTGTCACCATCCACCCCATTTCTTCTGTGTCATGTAGGTAATTATTAAAATTTTTTGTCTCTTTCCTGGGTTCACTGTTATCAACAGAGCCCAGTAGGTAAGCTCAGGTTCATAGCTCCAGGGTTTTAAAAAGAATCTGATTTGGGAAATAAAGTTACAATCTATGATATAAGGACTGTACTACTTAGTCAATGAAATTCTTACTTGGCAAATTAGTTAGGGAAGGCTTTCAGTTACAAATAGTAGGAAGTTGTATTGGAGTGTTTGAAGAGATGGGTTAAATTTATCCCCTGCAACAAGAAGGCCAGGGGGCCAGACTTATTTTGAGTTCTGCTGCCTTAATGTAGGGTTTGTTTTTGCAGTCGTGAGGTAGAGGCTGAATTCTCCAGGCTCAATTCTCGGGAAAAGTATAGGGTTGGAGGAATTTCTCCAAATGAACTTTTCCTCTGAGAAGCAGTACTCTCCCTAGGACCTCTGCCTTGGCCAGAGCCTCTTACATAGGGTCACCTCCACTAAAGGGACATCAGTGAAATTAAGGATTTTTAAACATGTATGTTGCTGCTCAAAGAAAATTGGGATTTTTGTTAGTAAGGAAGAAGAGGGAGTGGATATCAGGGAGGCCACTGGTTCTGCTGCTACACTCAGTTACCCTCTGGGCAGGAAGGATGAGGGCTTGAGACTTCAGGGATCTCATCTGACCCTGAAGTGGCCTGACTGTATCTTGAGTGTGGGGTCTTGAGATAGCAAGCTAAATATGCTGAGCCTCAGTTTCTGCATCTGGAAAATAAGCCTAAGAATTGTGTATCTCATTGCGTTATTGTGAGTTTAAAAAATAATAATAATCAGGGCTTCCCTGGTGGCGCAGTGGTTGGGAGTCCGCCTGCCGATGCAGGGGATGCGGGTTCGTGCCCCGGTCTGGGGGGATCCCATGTGCCGCGGAGCGGCTGGGCCCGTGAGCCATGGCCGCTGGGCCTGCGCGTCCGGAGCCTGTGCTCCACAGC